CGGTGGCCATCTCCTGCCTGCTGTGGCTGGCTGCTGGGCCTCCGTGCGGCCGGTCACACGGGCCCGGACCACGGCCCCCGTGGCCTCGCCCACACTTCCACTGCCGGTCCCGTGGATCGCCCTCGCTTGCCTGCGCCCCCATCTCTGTTGCCGCTGGGGTGGGCCACAGCTCCCTTCTCACTCCCTTCTCTGTGCAGGGGTGGGGGGTGGGGGCCCCCCTGGGCCCCGCCGAGCCGGCCACAGGCGCCGGCTCCTGAGCGGGAGCGGCAGCGGGAGCCGCCTGGCCACCGCCTGTGCCTGTCTCGCCCACATGCGACGACCGGCCCGGCCGCCTCCGGGCTCTGCGCCTTGACCCCGTGTGGTTTCATGCCGATATTATTTAAAGATTTATTTACTGATGCACATGACAGCTGGGTATGGGCCAGAGGTTGGGGGAGGGACGCCCCAGAGACAGAGTGGGGGGCAGAGCGGGCGGACCCACCCAGACCCAGGGCCGGGGGCCTCGGGCCAGGAGGGGTCTGCCGCCGGGGCCCTGCTGGCCGGGCTGAAGCAGCGCGGCTGTGCCCCGGGGGGCGCCACGAGGGTGAGCCCGCTGCATTGACTGCAGACGCCCGGGCTCTTTCCAGTTCGGGGTTGGGATACAAAAGGCTGCTGCTAGCGGCCAGACCTGTCATTTTCGAAACACAGATCTGGACACATAACGAGCAACAGCCAGTGGCCTAGGCGGTGTCCCCGTGGCCAGCAAGTTGGCCGTGGCTCTGACGCTCGAGGCCCGTGGACACCTCCCGGGGTAACGGGCCTGGGCACCTGCGCCCCGCTCTGCTCAGAGATGTGCCCCAGCCCCAGGCGCCTCCTGGCTGCAGGAGCTTGTCAGCCGGGCTCTGCACCGCGGGGGGGGCCCTGTCCCGCCTGGACTTGGAGGCCCCTCCAGGCACCTCCCACCACCAGGCCCGCATCAGGCTCCCCTGAGCCTGGGGCAGCAGCATGGGGGTGGGTGTGTTGGGGGGACCCAGTGCCCGTTTGCCCCTCGTCAATGGCTATTCCTCGGACTGGCGTTTGTGGAGCACCCATGGGAGCTGGCGCTGCCCTGTGTGCCACAGGCAGAGCCCGACAGAGGGCTGAGGGCCCCGGACCCCACGCTCTCCAAGCTGGGGGGCCCTCCCGCCGAAGGCCGGATGGAGAGCTCTGCCAGGCAGGCGCCTCACAAACGCCCAGGGTGTGCTCTGGGCCCCAGCTGGGTGGGGGGAGACCAGGAGGGCAGGACAGGGGAAGGTAAGGAGGGCCGGCCAGTGGGCTGTCCCGGCCCCTTGAGACTGGCCAGGGTGGTGTCCCATCGCCCCCCAACCCCCCAGTTTCTGCAGCCCTGGGAGGCTTCCCCTGTGCAGGGGAGGGCACATGCGTGGTGCCTCGCCCTAAACTGCATAAGCGGAGCTGGTCCGTGAAGGCGCCCCAAGGCGGCGACCCCCCACTTCCCCCAACCCCCCGCAGGTCCCTTGGGTGCTCGTCGGTGGGGGTCGCGTGCAGTCGTCACCCACGCCAGGCGGGACAGCGCGCACCCAGGGCCACTGGCCGGCCCACGCGGCGAGTTCGCGGGAGGCCGAGGCCAGCGCCGG